ATTATTTGCTCAGCATACAGATTGAATAAGTATGGTGAAAGAATACAACCCTGTCCATAGATGGTGCAAACTAGAATCCCCCAGCTACTAATCAAATGGTTAGAGATTTAAGTCCACCCAGAGGCACCTGGTGATCTAATAAAAAATAAGCCATCAGGACCATATAAAGCACAGTCTACTCTAACACACATGGGTTCACCCTAAGTCAGAATCAGTTTATCAACAACTAGTGATTCAAGACACAATCAGATTTACCAGCCAGACTTCACTAAATGTTTATTTAGAACTCCAGTGTAAGCCTAAATCTGAACTCTACCAGCAGAGACTAAAAGCATTAACTCTACTCTCACATTCCTGCTTGCACAAGGCACCAGTAGAATGAAGTCCAAACTTCCCAGGCCACTTGTTAGGCCCCATAGTCTCATGCCTCACCTAAGTCAATCCACACACACCCTTTCCCTCCTTCCTGCATCCTGGAATCAAGTTCCCTGGAATTCCCAGTCACTAATCAGAAAACTTCTCCCACCTTCTATTTCCTGCCTCACCTGAACTTCATTGTCCTCTACTGGCCTATCAAGTTGTTGTTGCTATTGTTAAGTGCGAGTGGGTTCCTACTCATAGCGAGTCTATATAGGGTTTCCAAGGAGTGGCTGGTGGATTTGATCCGCCACCTTTTGGTTCAAATCGACCTTCATGGTGCTTTATTCTACAGTGCCAGATGTTCTTTATTCTCCCCCAACCCTCACATTTCAGCATAGCCACGCCTTCAATCCCATCTTAGCTTCCAGACCATGACTCCCCCACCTCCTGGAAAACTCTGGCTCCTCTAAGGTTCATATCGCCTGTCTGAGCTGCTCATTGTAGATGATTTGCTCTCACTTCTTGAAGACTGAGCCACTGGCTCCTAGACTTCTTTTACATCTGGTTCCTACCATCAGTCTCAATGACTTCATGATCAGTAGTCCAGCCCATTTGACTCCCTTCACACTCAATTATTGACTGCAGATATCCAAAGGCTTTTTCCTCCTCTCTTCCTCAGACACAAGCACCCTAGGCCTTTTCATCACTGGAACCCATTCAACCTGCAAATTCACATATTCATGCATCACATCCTACCTACCTTTCAAGGTCGCTTGTTCAGATACTCCCCAGAGTGGGGCTTCCACCTAATGTAACCACTAGCCTATAAAATTATGTGTATTATATAATACCTGATCTGCCTTCCTTCCACAAGTAAAGGAACCATCAAATAATACATGCAGAAAGCTCTTTGTAAGCACTAGAGGGTTACAAACGTGAGGCAATATTTTAAAAGCAGAATGGCCTGTCTGAAGGCTAGGATGCTGGAAAGGATGATGTAGAAAAGGGAGAAGAGCAGAGACAACCAACCAGGGAACCTAAAGGACAGGGCAGAGTCCTTGGGGACACAGATTGAGGCCAGAGATATCCAGCACCACTGCCTCACTGGTGGCTTGGTAAGATGACGATAGAGGAAACCAATACTGGCCTTAGACAACAAGAGAAGTGTCCTCAGAACCCAGGAACACCATCACCCCTGAGAGTCATCCCTCACTAAAGGACAGATCATTTAAAGAGAGGTTTGCTTCATGGCTGAGAGAATAGAGCTGGAGTTGGGAATCAAATCTAGGCCTGGTTGAAAGTAACCTGCTCATGTATTAAACATTCAGAGACAGTATGAACTTTCAGGGGACCAGCTTACGCAGTTTTGTAGCACCTAGAAGAGGGTTGGAACTGAGCTTTATGTCAGTCCTGAGCAGGAGTATTAAGATCCTGATTGTCCCCCACAAAAGCAAGCTTATCCCATCCCGACTCCGTGACTTAGTTGCCCTTGCTTCCACTCCATGCTCTGGACCTAGTTTCTCTTCCTGTGGTCATTGACCAACTGACCCAGACATTCCCCTCTGCTGATGTCAACTGTAAATGACACCGATCCTTGGTGTTTTATGACCATTGTTTCAGGGGCAATGGAGCCTGACAGACAAGGGATAGAAGAGGGTTGTTGTTGTTAAGTGCCGTGGAGTCAATTCTGACCCATAGCAACCCTGTATAGGGTTTCCAAGGAGCGGCTGGTGAGCTTGAACCACTAACCTTGCAGTTCAAACGACTTTACAGTCTGATGCATTAGCCCACAGGGCCACACCAGGATTCCAGAAGAGGGTTAGGGTTACAAAAATGTGAAAAAAGGGGGGAGTCTGAATCCTTGAAGTGTTGATGAAAGAGAAGTCCATTTATTCAACATATATTTAAGTGTCTGAAATGTG